AGTTTGCTCAGTTTCATGCTCATTGCTTCAGTGATGCTATCTAACCATCTCATCCTCTGCTGTCCTCTTCTCCTTTTTACATGACATCAAATACCAGTGACAGACTGTTTTAGAGACATGTTTGGTAAGCTAGCACTTTGCAGCTGGACAGTTTAACAAAGTACTAGCTAACTTCATTAATATTTTGGTACATTCAAATCATCACTATTTTTTCTGAAATGAATGCCACATTTGAATTATATCCTTTATTAATGAACTATAATTTTATAATTTACTAATTGCCACTATAATCAAGAAATTATACCAGACGCAGACACAATAATAATAGATTAAATCTTCATGAAACAGGGACATCCTTGCAGAAGAAACTCAAAGTAGACTTTGGTCAATAGATGCTTTTACTTGCAGGAAAATGCCTTCTTCCCCTACGTTCTTTTCCATGTCCAATCTAAGTTGGGTACAGATCTCTGAGCGATTTGGCACAGATCGTTGAACGCAATGGCATTTCTATCACTCAGGCTGCAAAGATTCAGAGAGGCGAAGCTCGCCAGGAGGGATATTGAGATCAGTAAGTCTCTGAAACCAACTCGATTCCTGGTAGCTATACAAACACATTCATGTAAGTTTGCAGTTTTCTTGGCTGCAAGCGTTTACCATCCTTTCTTTCCGGGACATCTTTTCGACTTTCCAATCTGGTGATCTCCTGGTGGTTTCCTATCCAAGTACTAACAAGTACAATACTTGGCTTTACCGAGCATGGTTTCAGGACGAAGTCCTCGTATAAATGCTATTTCCCCTTTTTGCACTATTTCCGCCTCTGACGGAGAAAAGGCAGAAAACTACAAAGCGGGAGAAAGAAACGCCGAGAGAAGGCGCGCTGCGCTGCTGCTCGCAAGTTTGCGCTCGCAGCTCTTCCGAGCTGTAGGAAGTTTGCGGACTTCGCGCTCCGCGGTCAGACAGCGCCCTCTCGCGGCACAAACTGGGACGTCTCTTCAAGAGACTTTAAAGACGGAAAAATGGAAGGAACAAGAAAGGGCCGAGGGCGGCAATGCTCCGCGCCACTGTTAGTTGTTTGGTTTCCTCCGCCTGTTCCCTGAGTCCGCGAAGGCGGGGCGAGTTTTTCACAGGCTGTCCCTTTCTCCGCAGGAATTTCCACCCTGCCCGCCCGGAAAACGTCCGAGCAGCAAACTCTCCAGGCGGAGGTGAGCCCCTTGAAGGGGCAGAGGGAGGAGGAGGAGGAGAAGGGCGGCTCCGGGCTGCCTCGCTTCCAGGTCCTCGGTAGCTTTGGAGTTCCCGTAAGCGGAGTGGAGGGCTAGAGGGGCTGATTCGGGCCGGACGGGTGTGGGGTGACCGGCGCCACTTTTCAGAGCTTCCTCTGTTCTTTGGGAATGTTTGTGTGTGGATGGATGGGCGCCTTTCTTCCCTAGAAACCAGCAGCCTGAAGTTTTGGACTACATTTCCCATTAGTCCCCACTAGCTGATCAGGAGTTGTGGGGGATTGTCCCTTCCCAAAATTCTGCCTGCCTGCCTGCCTCTCCTTTAAATCCTCCCAAAACAGAATTGATCCATCTGAGTCCTTCTTTCCATGTGGATTTTAAGCTGATCCTCAGTGCCACGTGAGAGGGAGGATGGGAATGGAAATTACCCCCTCTGCTCAGCATCATACAGATAGAGTATTTATTGTGTGCATTATTTTTTTTTCAGCTGGAACTCCAAACATTCCTCCTCCCTCATCTTGATATGGCGGTGGTGGGTGAAGACCCCACCATATTTACCACGGATGCTCTGCCTTCTGACACCAGACTCCTCCCAACGATGACCAATGCCTATCTGGGGACCCGAGTCTACAGGGACATCCTTCATGTCAATGGGGTGTACAATGGAGCAGTTGGGCAGACACATCGGGCTGATCTCCCCAGTCCTGTGAATGTCAGGATGGACGTGGATGGAGCCAACGACCTGAGGGAGACCTTCTGTTTGGACACCAGGACAGGTACGTGGCAATGCAACCATCCTCATCTGCATTTTGCTGGCAAATACATTCCGGCCACCCTGTCAGGATGGCTTTCTTCAACTCGCACACTGAGCACAGAAAATAGCTTTTGTTTTGAAGGACAATGTGAGCCTCACAATTCATAAAGAAGAACAAGGGGGTGGATATAGGAAATTCAAGTTGAGCTAGGTTCTCCTAAGTTTGAATTTGCATCCACATATAGAGCTCATAAAGGAATCTGAGAATCTCTCAGATGAACCTATTTTGAAAGGCATCTTTTAAAACAGCCTTTCTTAACTAGATATCCTTCAGATGCAGCAAAATAGTTCCCGTTAGCAACAGGATGATGGAAGTTGTTGTCCAGCATATCTTGTCCAACTGAGAAGCCTCCTTAAATAGAATTGAAAATCTTCAAACTGGAGGAAGACAGGAATTTTCAAGAAAATTTTTAATTACAGTACAGAGTGCTTAAGATCTGGAGAATATTTTTCCACCTTCCTGTGCAAATGGATTATTTTTCAATTCTATGATGTATCAAATATAATTTAATCTTTAAGGAGACAATCACAAACAACCATCTTTTTCACATTTCAATTTATCAAATAACAGAAGGATTATATTGTAGGCCACATTTAGATTTCTTGCCCCAGGCTCATTTCCTTGTGTGAAATTGCATGAGTACATTTGACTTGAGAATTTAGTGTATGCGTTCAAACTGATCCCTTCCTTCTGCCTGCAGGGACCTACATCCACACCGCCCAGTGCTCAGAATATACAGCTACTCACACAATCTATGCCCACCAGTCTCTTCTCCATCTTCTGGCCTTCAGCATAACCATCTCAAGGTCAGCTCTTGAAACTAAACCCATCACAGTGAATCTCCACACCCAGTTCACGCCAGAGAGTCCAGACCTGGACTTGCAGAAAGGGCCAGATTTCCTGGGAGCTCAGTGAGTATTATTGTGGGAAGGTTTTCTGGAGCTCCTGGCCTTGAAAGACAGCAATAACAGAAACCAGATGTTTTTCCTGTGGTTTTGAATAGGGAATAAATGCAGCCCCCTCCAGAGGACACAGACAGTCTGTCAGGAAACACCCATATTGCTAAGAGGGTGCTTCAGATTAGAAGAAGGGGTGGACTTTGACTAATACTGCCTTCCGTAACCTGGTGTCCTCCAGATGAGCTGGGTCTACAACTTCTTGAATTCCCTACTAGCTTGGCCTATCAGGCAGAGCCATTGAGGGAGAACCATTGGCCACTACACTTAAAAGGTATAGGCAGAGATACAAAGAATAAAGAGAATGGAAAGATGGAAGGAAAAGTTTTAGATTAGAGTTCAAAAGGATGGAAAGCAAAGCCTTTGTACGAGATGGGTATAAAATACCAGTGGTGTTTCCATTCTTTACCAGACCCTCTAATCTCCAGAGAGAAACATAAGGATTCCCAATTTTTTATTTCTCCTTAGCTATCTGTATGGAAAGACATTGGTCCCAGAAGTAGAAGGTGGCCCCCAGCCTACTGTACACATGGTCTGGACCCCAGTGCCCCAATCAGTGACCCTCCCTGGAGAAAAGAAGGAGCAGAGATGGGAGTTCCTCACTGCCATAGCAGAGACTGAAGAGGATGTGCAGAGGACCTTTTGTGAAGGAATGTCCCTGATTGGATCTGGTTCCTTACATTTGTCTCACGTCCAGGCATGGGCAGCGCTCTGGGAAGGCTGCTGTGTAGATGTGGAGGGGCCTCTTCCCTTCAGCCAGGCCATTTATGGCTGCCTCTATTACCTGCTCAGTGCCATTCCTCCTCTGGGCTCTGCTAACTTCCCATTCTCTGGAATCAGCCCAGGAGGCCTTTCCAATGGCACATCTGGGGAAGACTACTGGGGCCACGTCTTCTGGGACCAGGTGAGCAAAAGGCACCACAGGTGCCCCAATTTTCTACTACTGTATGAAGCGGAGATGAATTGGGGAAAATGTTCTATGCCATGGCAAAGACCTGGTCATCTACTGTCCTGTAGCTGGTTTTAGCTTTCTGTGATGCACATGCAAAGACTAAAAGGTGCTGTGAATTCTGCAGAGTTCCAGCTCTCTCAGTTGCAGGTTGATTTAACCACTATGCAATCAACTGTTAGCTCAGTTATGTGACTCATCCTGCAAAGTGAAGATAGAAAGTTAGACTTAGTTCATCTCACCTAGCGTACATCAGGGTGTGTGTGTGTGTTCGTTTAAGCCTGGGATCTTCTTAATTGGAGGTGCCATGGATTGAACCTGGCAGTTATCTATGCCAGGCATGTGCTCTGCCCTGAGCCACAATCTCTGCTTGACTCATATCTTTTCAAAATAGTCAACAAGTTAGGTTTTATTAGCAGATGAACTAACTCTGGATCTGTCTCTGTTTCTCCCCTTGAGTGAAGTTTCCTCCTCCTCTCTCTCTATGCATCCCCCTCTATTCCTTTATAACTTAGGTTTTGATAACCTTCCAGTTGTTTCATCAGATGCATGAAATGCCATCTTTTATTACTGCTCTTGCACTTCCTGATTTAAACGCTGTCCCTTAAATTGTGATGTGTGTTGGGACTAGTTAGGCATAATCAGTACTGGAGGAAATGCATTCTGGCCCCATCCGTTTTTCTTTCACAGTAGTAAGAGTCTCCTAAGGAGGTTTGACATCAACTTTCCACAGTCTCCTACCCCAGAGTAGAATATTCATTGTGTGGTTCTCCAGTTTAAGTCTTTAAACTGAAGCCCCATCATTCTAGGGCCCAGATTTTGTTTTAAGGGTGGGGATTGAAGAAGCTGGTCTCCCAGAAGGCTCCAACTCTTCGTCCCACCCTTATTGTGCCGGCAAGAAGAAAAATGTTGCTGCTGAACGTAGGTAGCGTGATCTCAGGTCCCTGGGGCCAGAGGTAGGCATGGATTGTCCCTCTGTTGAGTGACTAATAAATGCCAATTTGCAAAAGGCTTAGATTTCACCTGGTTGAAACAGTAATTCCTAGAATTCCAGGGCAACATTTTGAGAACTGCAGCCTCAGCACATCTGGATTGTTCTAGGTTAGGAATGCTGACTAACAGCATTGGTGTTTCCATGATCTCAGAACATGAAACTCAAGACATTTTAGCTTTCTATAATCTGGTCTGCTCCATATGTTTTGGACTCTCATGTTATCCCCGGTTATTGGCCTAGGGGGTGTAATTTACCAGATCTGGAGTACGCCAGGTTGGGGAAGGCAGCTTAGTTATCTGAACCTGGGAGCTCTTATTTATTATTTATTTATTATTAAACTTGTATGCTGCCCATCTCCCCCCAACATGTAACTCTTATTATGGGAGAGGAATAACTGCTGGTTACTCTCTAATATACAGATCTTGTAGACACCCTCATTTGCATTTGATGGCAATATTTATATACATTGTCCTTTCTTTTTGTTGTTAAACCTAGGATACTTGGATATACCCAAACATCTTGCTTTTCTATCCAGAAGCAGCTTGTGCAATCCTAAAATACAGGATCCGAACACTAGAGGGAGCTCAACACAATGCATGGGAACAAGGATATAAGGTAGAAGCCACTTGTGAAGGCGAGATAAAATGCCAGCATCTCCTTCCATGGAAGGCATAAAGCCAGTTTCCTCTATGAAAGAAAAATCTGCAGTGCAGGACCGCCCCCCCCCCCCCCCAGATTCCCCTTGGCTTGAACTGTTGTTTATTTTACCTTTTCAGCGGGTTTTCAAAAAACGAGAACAAAATTCAGTGGCAGCAGCAGAAGGCTCTTTGAAACAAGAGTAGCTCTAAACGGTTATGAAAGCATGGGTGACATTAAAATGACAGCAGCTCTTGCAGTCTGAAGTAGGGCTGAAGTGGGGAAGACTGGAAGTAGAAGGGTAGGAAGTGGTGTCTAAACTGGGGTGATTTTAAGCCTTTCTAAGAAGTTAGATGACATCTCATCCAACTTCAGAACCTGCTTTGAAGACAAACCAGGGATCTCCCTTCTCTTCTCCAGGAAGCACAGATGGCCAGGATAGGCAAAGTGCTCCAAGCTTCAACAGGCTAATTTGAAAAGAATTTATGAAAGAATTGCTAAAGCAGCAGAGCAGACAATTCAGGGTGACTTTCTAGCTTTGTCTAGAACTTCTTAAATAAGATAATCTAGACCAACAATCAGTAACACCACATGAGTATATAACCATTTGAAATTAAGCTAGGTAGGCCATTGGAGTAAGTTTCTAGTCTTTAGTGTTATGGCAGTATGCTTAAACAACAATGAGCAGATTCTGAAAGCTTGAGAAAATAGGTAAGTACATTTTCTAAGATCATAATTCTGAACAGCAGACTTAGTCATTCAAAAGTTGGCTGCTAAAACTCCAGTGATGCTTGTGCTAACAAAACATGGATTCAGAGGGCACAAGTATGTAAGCATTTCTCAAATGTGCTATTGGTTGCTAAGCTTTAAAATCAATATCAATCTCAGTAAATGTAATTGTAAGCTATAGGGTTTTTTTTAAAATGCCTTCAAATCAGTCTTGACTCCTGGTGAC